GGGCTTGCTGGAGCTCACAGGTAGGAAGGCCCCAAGCTGCAGTAACACCATCCTCCGGCTCTCTCCCTGGCAGTTCAGCCGCTGCATCACCTCCCAGCTCATCAAGTGGTTCAGCAACTTCCGTGAGTTTTACTACATCCAGGTGGAGAAATTTGCCCGGCAGGCCCTGCTGGAGGGTGTTGTGGATGCTGGCACCCTCCAGGTCTCTCGCGACTCAGAGCTTTTCCGTGCCCTCAACATGCACTATAACAAGGGGAACGACTTCGAGGTGAGGAGGGGGAGTTGGGGGTGGGGGCAGTGGGGTTTCCTGGGGCAAAGGGGAGTCAGGGACATGGTGGTGCCATGGGCTGATGCCCATCTTGCCGCAGGTGCCAGGGCGGTTCCTGGAGGTGGCCAGCCTGACACTGCAGGAGTTCTTCAGTGCCGTGAGGGCGGGCAAGGATGCCGACCCCTCCTGGAAGAAACCCATTTACAAAATCATTTCCAAACTGGACAGCGACATCCCAGAAGGGTTCAAAGCTGCCAGCTGCTCCCAGGAACTGCTCCGCAGCTGAGACTCTGTGAAAACAGCCCTGGGTCCTGTGTGCAGCCACCATGTGCTAAGCACCTCACGGGCACTCTGTACAGCACCCATTACTCAGAGTATTCTCTCTCTGGCCTGTTAGACAGCTCCTTGGGTGAGGAGCTCCTATCACTTGCCCCAGGTGCTGGGATTTTACACTGTGTTTTATTCCCCTGCTCAAGGCCAGTGGGGACCCTCAGAAGGGAGGGACAGGCATGAACCCATCAGGTTGGAGCCTGGGAAGTTGCCCTGCTCCAGCTCTCCCCATGACCCTGGCCAAGCCACCTTCCTTCACTCGCCAGAGGGCCACAGACCAGGACAAACAGCCTTGCTGTTTATAAAGCAGGCAGAGGTCCTAGCAGTGGGCAAAGTTTTCTTGGCGCAGCAGACTAGTGGTTGTGCCCAGTCCAACAACAGGACTCAGTTTCTGTCCAGATTCAACATGCCAGTGTCCAAAGAAAACAGCTGGTGAATTCCAGCATTTCAAGCACCCCTTGGGGATAGTTGTCTAGAAGATGTAAAAACAATGTTTGTTGTAGCCAGCATGAATAACTCCCTACTGTGTCCCCTGTGCTGTTTGACAAGACTCCCCCACGCAGCTGCATGCTGCGGCCAAGCAGGTGAGTGTGTGCTGGTCACAGGAGCAATTTCTCCCCAGCAGTGTTATCCATGATGCTGGAGGAGAGCAGGGTGCACAGCTGGCACTGCAAACAGCATCCATCAGCCCATCATCCAGAAGGAGAGCTCCATATTAAACACGCACCCATGTCCCCTCACTCTGTATTTCTGCTGACAAAACTGCTTCAGGCATCTTCAACCTGCCCACGGTGAAAGAAGAGCTATCAGTCCCTGTGGAATTAACAGAAGCTGGTGAGAAGCTGGGCCCCAAGATCTGCAGTCCTATTACTGTAGGAGGTATAAATCCAAGGAGGTGGCTTTCCCTGTGACCAGGAGTCAGCAGCTGCTCTTCCACCAGATGAAGTGTGGCAAAATATGTTTTGTGTTAAGGGCTCTCTATTCACGACAGAGGCGGCAGTGGGGAGGGAAAGCCTATGAAGAGGAGGGAGGCCCTGGGAGAGGGCATGGCAGCAGGGAGCTGGGAGGGCAGCAACGTCCAACTGTGGATGAGAAACAACATACCTGTGCAAAACCCTCAGGGAGAAGAGGACTGGGAGGAGGCCAAAATGATACTGGGTGTGCTGCAAGGTGCCAGTGGGTACTAGAGCACAGCAAGTGACTTGGAAGAGGGAAGTCACAGCTCTAGCATCAGATGAGCACATGGGGTGATCTGCAGGACTAAGGAAGCTTGTGGTAACATCAGGGCATGATGGGAGGCTCAGAAATAGGGGTGGTTTTACAGTGGTTCATCATGAGTGTGGCCACCCAGATTTCCTGCTTCTGTTTGTATATTTTACAAGCCGAACACCAAATTTACTTGATCCATTTTTAAATAAACACATGGTTTAAGTGACCCCTTTACATCCCTACGGATCTATTTGATAACTTCTATTTTAAACCGTTTCCCTGGGAATTTCTTGGTTTTTGTTGGGAAAAGAGTAACACTGCAGTAAAAGGGCTTAGCCCTCCTGACGGCATCTCTGTGGGGCCAAGGAGACCCCCCCAACCAATGTAAGCTCCTTTAAATCTGCCCCCTCACTCCCATGTCTTATGGTCAGTTTGCTCTGAAGTGCAACTTGTCAGAAGGATAGGAACAGTAGCTGGAGGCAGAGACATAGCTCAAAGCTTAGAGGTGCCAGACTCAAATGTACAACATCTCGTAAGTCTTGCTGGGGGCAGTGTGAATGGCACCATGCTGTTCATGCAGGCAATAACTATCTCACAGCTTAAGGAATATATTGGGTAGGCAAAACCAATGCTGCTGGAAAAGGAAATGATGGCCTTACTCAGCAAGGGGTCAGTAAATTCATCTGGCCATAGCTGAGCAATTAGGGAACATAAGATAGAGGTTTACTGGAGCCATCCTGCTGCATGCCTTCTACACAGAGTCCCTGGGGTGAGCAGTTTCTTGCTCCCTCTGGTAACATGCAAGTTCAAGAGTGTCAGTAAAGCAGCAGGTGGGGGGCTGAGGGAAAGGCAGTGCCCCAAATCACAGTCATGCAGTGGCTGAGGTTGTAGGGAACATCGGGAGGTCATCTTGTCCAGCACCCTACCTATTCAAGCAATTGAGAGCTGGTTACCCAGGACCATGTCCAGATGGCTTTTGACCATCTCCAAGGAGGGAGACTCTACAATCTGATTATTAACAAAGACGGTCAACAGGTTTGGACCAAGTATTAGCATCAGAGCTAGAGAGACTCTGCAAGGGACCCGAGATCACAGGCCACTTGTATTGGCTGGCATCTTCCTTGGCAGCTTTTTAACCCCATCACCTTCAGCCAAGTATGACAGAGAGCAGATAGGTATCTGGGGTGCAGAGGGAGCATCTACCCACCTTCTGGTCACACCATACTCCTGCAAGTAGAGTTCCTGTCTAGGGAGCCTGGGGTGCAGCTGCCTCCTCTGGGGCTGCTTGTCTGCTTGGAGTCATGGGGTTGCACCCAAGCAGGCACAACTCTGCTGCACAATGCTGAAGTGGGGCGAGATGCATCACAGCCTTGTGCTCCTGCAAGAGCCTTGGAAAGCAGCAGCTGGCTGGCAAAGAAGGTAGAGGGGGCTCACACTGCCTTCCCTCCGTCTAGGTCATACAAGCACTGAAACGGAGAAGGTGGCACATCTGCTGGGAGGTGGGGGGAGCTGGGGTTATTCTAGGGGTGATGGAGCCTGAAGCAGGAGGGAAACAGAGCGTGAATTCTTAAGAAATCAGGGTTACACTGGTTGTGCTGTGCAGGGTGTGGTGTGCAATTTCATTCACATTCTAGTGGTGCCCAAGACATAGCAGCTGGTTTTCAAAGACTAATGGGTGAGAAAGTGTCTGCTTGGAAAGAGCTGCTGCCCACACAGTGACTAAGATTGTGACTCGCAGGCTTGGGTGGGGTCTTGCTTCACCATTTCCACTAATTACCCGAGGAAGCAATTTGGGTAGCACACTCACCTTCTGCTGACTTTCATCTTAAAATAAAAAAAATCCTTTCCTTCCTTCTATCCAAATTTCTGTGGTATATGCAAAAAGCCAAGAGCCACCTGAAACTGTCTCCTCTGGGAACGATTCCTGGAGGTTGTCCTTTTATGTTTGCATTGCATTCCTAACCCATCCACAGCAATGCACCCAGTCCACACAGCTAAAGAGAGCAAAGGCTGCTAAACATTAAGAATCACTGATTCCTGCATCCAGGCTGCCACAGCCGAAAGAGGGAGATGTGACTGCAGTGATTAAGGTGGCAAGGGCCCAAGAGCCCTAATGTACTCATCTGTTAATACTTACCATAAGAGTCCTTATTACTAATATACAGCTATTTACAGATTGAAGAAGTTCCTCATGTTTGTCCTGTGTGCAAAAACTAGCTTGGGGGGAAACTCTGACAAGAAATATATCTAGTTTTTCTTTTCTTGC